CTTTCCAGAAACAGAAATGAGGTAGGTTCACCAAATTTAGAGGCATGGATGGAAGATTTAGATTTAGCTATAAAAGAAAAAAATATCTCCCAGACAATGAGACCTGAGGGAGAGATTCCAGAGCATATGCAGATCATTTTTGAAACTGTATGCACACTTTTTTTTAACCTGCTGGTGTTTGTATTTACTGTATTTACCCAGGGTTCAGATTTGCATACTGGGAAAATGCTGGTAGTTAGCTCTTCTAACAGTTGCTTGAAGCAATTAACATTCCACAGAAGAATTCAGGACATTTTGTTCCCACCCCCCCCATACCTGAAGACATTTCTGCCTTTCTCCATCTATTGAGATAAATGTCCTGTACTGTTGCTGGATGGAGGTCTTGATGACACTTCTCATGTATCATTCTTCCAGAAAAAAGGAATTCTCCAACGTCTGCTCTTCTTCCCTGATACTCATTGACATATTATGGTCTCTCATACCCTGTTGTATCATCTCCAGCCAGTTCCTTCAAAGACTTAATTTGTGTTATAAGCAGCAAGTGATTACTGGACCTGTTGCCTTAAGCCAGTTGTAAGCCCATGCAGGATGGCTGTGCTTCTCTTCCTCTTAAGTAACTTTTCTGTTGGCTCTCCTTGACCCAGGCCATTAAGGAACACCAGCAGAGAACTGCATCACTGTGATCTGTTTTGATCACAATTCAGCTGCACATTGATACACAGATGCAGGCTTCTGCCTGACCTAAGATAGGGCATATTTGTAGAAATATAAGTATATTCTTCCCTATACTGTTATCCTCTAGTTTTCCAAATGAACAACCCCATATAGTGTATTCCAGCAGTTTAAGCTCCATAAAGGCTGAAAACGAAAAGATATTAAGGACTGGTGTGAGGTACAAACAGGGACCAGACCTAGGATTGCTTAATGGTCGTAAACAAAAACTGGTGCAGATATCAGTTCTCTACTTTATGAGGTGAACATAAAAAAATCCATATGATGTCCTGATTAGAGGACTGAACAATGACTGTGGAGGCCTAGGGCCAGATTCTCATTCAGTGTCAAAGCTGAGGTCTATTTCCAGTCCTTGGATGAAACCACCTCAGATGATTGCTGTGAGCATAAGAGGGAACACAATGCTCTGAGCTTGTTGGAGGAAGGGTAGGATAAAAATGTAACAAAAAAGTGACAGAAGTAGAGGTAAATTTCCTCATTTGAGGGTGTACAGTAGCTGGGCAGTTGGAAAAGTGAATAATATCCATTCTCCATTTTTCAGTTCCATCAAATACATGTACTATACAATGCAAACTTCCTTTTTGAGTTTGTTTTCACTGAGAAAATTTGGTCAAACTGAGTGTAGCTGATGCTGCACACGCAGTATTTTTAAGCTTCCATTGCTTCTACAGAATGACTCTTTTTATAAACACCACACAACAAGATTGCCAAAAACTTAAGTGGCATAGTAATTTTATTCATTTAGTGTGAAAAATATAAAGCTCATGTACTAGTTCTATGAAGGATGAGAAACTGTGTGAGTTCAAAGTGATTTATTTGATTTTCCACATAATCACAGTTATAGTTTTACAACCATAAGGAAGGTCTGATACTACTTACAAACAATGCATATTAAAATGAAAGCACTCCTTTCTTCCCAACAGTTACAAAATGGGTCTTGAGCCTCCCAGAACAGAAGCTTCTTGTGAGCATGATGTTTCTTGAAGTCTTTTAACAGTCTGCATTCAAGACCTAATTATAACAGTTTAATATAAGTCAAAGCTTGGATTAAGTTCCTAGCAGGGGACAGGTACTATATGCAACCTGAAATTGACTGCAGACTTATATTAATACTAATTTACACACTATATACAATTTTTAGAGAATTAGCTATTTCCCCACTTGGTCCTGTTCCCACTACTCTTTACCCTCCCTCAAATTTCATATATTGGTCACCCCTCCCCCCGATTATATACACAGTTACTCATTTTGCAGGCAAGAAGTGATGATATTTTACAATGGAAACAGCAAAAATGCATGCTTAACTGCAGAAAATGCACAGCTTTATATGGAACAGCAAGTCAACATGTAGAGAGTCATTGTTTAAATAGCTGCTGACTGTATCTCAGCTCATTTTTAAATCAAGAAACAAGAGGCTTCTGCTGCATGCAGTGCTTGATGGGAAAAATCATTCTACAATGTTATGCTTGAAGACTTCTTTTTAAGCAATACAAGACATGTACATTATATTAGGATTACTTTTTTTTACATTGTTGTACATTTCATTCTTAACTTAAAAGGATTAAAACAAATACATATTTGACCATTGTCCCAGAAAAGATATTTTTGCAAGGCCTTTTAGTATTTCCTTCATTTAATAGTGTAGTTATCTAGTGTTTCTTTCACCTAGCCAGACTATTAAATGACAAGGCAGACACATGATTCAGTAGGGCTTTGTGCTGATTTTTAATCAATGAGAAAATCCTAACAAAAGCTGTTCAGTATCTATTTTTCCCCTCCATGCTAGAAAATGTATTTTCTGCAACAATGTGCCATAGACATTGATAATGATCACTTTCCTTTCTTACTGGCAGTCTAGGAGGTAGTCTGATACATCAGATTGCTCTCCCCCCAAAAAGCAATGAAATTCTGAAACTGAATGCTCGCAACAGGACATAATTGTTGAAAATAATTATAGAAAGAAAAAACAGGAAAAGAAGTCTTAGATATGTTTGGATTGTTCTTATACATTCCACACACACGCACACAGTTAGACAGACTTCTCAACACAATTTGAATCTTAGCATCTGAATATGGAGCATCAAAGTACATGTGTAAAAATCTGATGTAAGCATGTGTGATGCAGCAACAGCACAGAAGCTTAAATTCTTTCATGGAGTTCTCTATGCTATCCCAATAGGCAGTATAAATAGATAGGAAATATATATCTTTTAAAAAAATTAGGGTACTGCAGATATTAATGTGTTAAATATAAAATAATCCAGTGTATGTGGCCTTCAGCTTGTTATGTAGAATATTTAATGCAAAATAAAGAAGGAAAAAAATGCCCACCTCTGCCTCATCTTTTCTGGAACAACTTATAAATTACAGTTAGACTCTGCTACTGGTACAAAGGTCTGAAGAAAAGCTTACATATTTAAATATGTTATCACTTTACTTCAACTAATATCGACAGTAACACTGATATATTTTGCAAATATACAATACGTAGAGTGTAGCCTCAACACTATTAATATTAGATGACATGCAGACAGTTCTATTATCCCTTATAAGAACAAGATTTTTAACTGCAAGGAACAGAGCCTCAGGGGGGCTGACATAAGCCCTCATAAGGTAAGCTGCACAATTTTGAACAGCCTGTATGATCATTAAAATTTACTTTCATTTAATGTGAAGTTAATTTATAGGAAACCAAACAGGAAAAAAAAGTATTGCACACATGGAAAATAGAGGACACATTTAAACAACAGGCTAAACTCTAGGTGGTTGTTTTTGCTTTATGCAAATTAACAAAATACTTTGTCTATAGTTTTGCTGGTACTCATGGTATAATCCATGGTATAATCCATAGTATGAAAGGGGTGTGTGTGAAAAACTAAGCAGGAGGTACTAGGATTAATCCAATACAGAAAAGTAATCTTCACACGTCATGTTTACATTCAGAAGCAACGGACATTTTGTTGTTTTACCCATCTCTCACTGGAACTTTTTTCCTTCTTCTTTTAAGCCATATCCACAATTCAGCTGGTGCAGTTCTGCGGTTCCTTTTGTTTCTGCCATTTAGATGTACAGTCCTTGTGACTGATGTGGTTCAAAATGCTGAAACTACAAAGTATGCTCCATGTATAATTTTTTTTTGTAGAAAATAGATTTTGGGAATTAAAAAAAATCTCATATGGACTTGCAAATGACTTGAGTACAACACATAAGCAACAACAGCACAGTTGGATTTTACGTGACATCTTGCAACTAACTGGACTATGACAGTTTGAGCATAGACTCAGCCTGCTGAGTGCTGGGTAAAAACTAACAAATGTGATGAGAATAATGGTGAGGAAATCTTGCCGCCAGCACATGGCTACATGGAATTACAGTTATAAAAATCTATACTCAGTACTAAAATAAACCTTCAAGTTTCAGAGCACTTATCTATAGAAAAAAAAATCTGAACTGCAGTGTATTTTAATTGGGTTAAACAGAGGAAGTTATGTTAAAGAGGAAATGCAGCTGAGAAGGATGGATGTATTTCATTTTAAGGTCTGAGATGAATGTTTATGTGGCATATGCAAGTACCTTTCACTTAATTCTTCATGATTATTTTATTAAAATATATATGAATATAAAAGAAATGTGGATTCTATAAGTTCACAGTTATCACAGCCTTTAAAATGTCTAAGAATTTGAGTAACCAAAAGTTAGAGGCAACCACAATTAAAGTTGCCTCGTGTTGCTACTGTATAGTTACTGCATCTTAACTAGAGTTTGCTTACCTGAAATAGCAGAGCAGTTATAATACTGACTAAGTATATTATCATGTTAATAAAATAAGGATTTATACAAAGCAATATTGGATTACAACAGGTAAATGCTATGGTACTTGGCACATTTTGCAGTGATTGCTTAAAGAATTATTTCCAAGTCCAGAGAACTTTTTATTGAGAACACTGAAATGTCTGGAATTTGTTCTAGTTTTTGGTCTACACTTTCTCACACTGTTCATCTATTATACTGTCCTTCTATCTGTAAGTGGAATTCCTGGTAAAGTATATATTGCTAGCTTTGTGAACTTTGCAAAAGTTTTGTTCTAAACATAAACATTAACTATACAGTATATATATATGTATATATTTATATATTTATATTATATAAAGTTTACTTACGTACTTTCATCAACCATATGAGGTCTACTGTTTTTGCCCATTGACAATTAAGGAGCAAGAATGCAACACTTTATTCTATTTCATTTTTTTCTTTTATTTTGAGTTGGTTATATTTTCATTATGCATTTAAAATTGTCATGGGGATGAAAAAAAAGGTAGCTTAACATTTTCAGCAAGCAGCATATTTTTCAAGGCTACTGGAGAAAAGGAGGGAGAAGGTTACCACTGAGTTCAACCATAAGACCAACATTGATCAGGCTAATATAAATTGTTCTATTGAATCCTTAAGGCCAAAGGAGTCAAATAGGTTTCTTCTGGCTTGGATTTTTTTAAAAGAAAAAAAAATCCAGTTTTAAAGGCTGCTTCTGCTTGCTGTAAGTGCCTTTACAGTTCTGTCTAGAGCTACAGTTACTCGCAGGGTAGTTTGGTTCTAGACTATTGTGCTGATGCCACTGTGTTTGGACTTAGTGCTGGTTGAAGTAGAAGGGGGAACTGGCTGACCATGGTGATGCGAAGCATGGGAAGAGTGTGCAGGGTGAGGAGGGGGCAATGGAGGATGGGGAGCATGGGAATGCTGTGAATGGGAGTGTGGTATGTAAGAATGCTGGGAATGCGGTATGTGCTGGGAATGCGGTACGTGATGGTACTGGTGTGGGTGCTGAATATGCTGGGGTGGATGATAGTGGTGGTGATGATGGTAAGGGGGTGGGTTCTGCATATGACAATACTGAGAATGGTGGGTGTGCACTTGTGCTTGGGTCTGCCCTTCAACTGACCCTGAGTGGTGCATTGCAGAAGAATGCTGTGAGTGTTGCTGATGTGAAATTATGGGGGGGTGCTGAGGCTGCTGTGATGGGCCAGGTGCTAGATGGCCTTGGGAAGGCTTCCCCCTTTTACTACCAAATAAGGACCCTAGTAGTGAGGAAGAATTAGGCATAGTCTGGTGAGGGCGAGATGGACACTCTCGGGTTGATGTAGCTCTTCGGCGCATATGAGGACTGCTAATGATGGACCCCTAAAAAGAAATTAATAGAAATAAAAATTAAAAAAATCTTTAAAAATATGTGTAAAAGAAAAAGTTCACAGCGACCATCATGTTTTCCTTAAAAGCTTCTATGGATTATTTGCTATATGATATACAGGAGAAATTCGCTCGCTCTCTATCTGCCAATTTTGCTTTTCAATGCATAGCTGGGGCATATCTATGCCCAATTTTTTTTTCTCCAATGGAAATATTAAACAAAAAAAGAATCATCAATAATCAGTGACCTAATACCTTCAAGATTTTATTTTATATTTATTTCTTTTTCATTTTAAAAATATTATAGTCTTGTGGCTTTTGTCCCGCTCTAGGGGGAAAATACAAATACATGAATTAAAAGGAAATAATTATCACATGGCTACTATTCAGATTTTATGCTGTAGTTTTATCTAAACTTAAATTTTAAAATAATGTTTGAATTGTAGAACAGAAGAGTTCTAATCTTGCTTTCAGTATGCTTTCTGTACAGTGTTGATCTCCTGAGCTATGGCTCAGTATTTCTTACTATTTAGCCTTCAACTGTCTAGTTAGTTTGTGGAGGCTTTTGTTTTCCATTCAAACAACTAATGGGTGCAGCAATGGTGAGGCATCATGTACTATATGTAAACTGTAGTCTATCTAATTCACACACGCACACGCACACACAAAAACCTGCAGGCTGAATTCAAAGACATGAACAGTATATAAATGGTTTGAAGATGAATGAAATCTCATGAAATCCACATTGAATTCATCTGTCTTATTTTTTTTCTCCTCCCATGCCCTATCTATGCAATTCCATGGTGTCATGACTGCATACATTTTGCAATTTAACTGGAAAATAAGCAATGTGAATGGCTGAGCATGGAGTCAACGAGTTGAGTTAACTGGCATACAGCACAAACAGTGTACTGTGCAACAAAGAGCCCACTGGGCCTTTAAGCGGGGACCAGATTGAAATGGTGGCAGGAGGACACATCATATTCATTTAACCATGCTTGCAGGAAGAGAGGGGGACAAAGGTTAGCTGAAATAAAAACAAAGCAAAACAAATTGTGCTCGATCTAAACAAGCTGGAAGTAGTGTTTATTTTATTTTTAAAATATGCTAAAAATACAGTGAGTAGCCTTGGCATGCATTTTATTTGAGGCAGGCAGGTTATATGTTAGAAGAGCAAAAAAAAAAAGTATATAAAAGAAAGGTTTGAAATGCACATCACATCCAGCTAGACATCAGTAACTTCCTACTTACTTCCATATTGCTGTCTAGCGATCCTGCACTGCTGCGACGCCCACGCTTGCCTGCCCAGGACATGCAATATGATAGATTAGAGACTGAAACAAGACCTGGGTGACAAACAGCCGCCTTCCCCGATTCATTGCTAGGGGAGCTTTGGAGCGCGACTGTAAATGTTGGGACAGTACAGGAACTATATTTGTAGAAGCACACACTTAAGGTGTAATCACATTCCACTGAAATATTGGGGAATCTCCCATTGATTTTAATGGATCAAATTGGTTACTAGGCTAAATTACATGTATGATATAACTGTAATTTATGGGGAGAAATATTAATACTTGGGAATCCTCAACATATATAAAACTATAACATATGTATTGCACTTGAAAGGTAGTATGTATATAATGGTATACCATGTGCAATATTTACAACTTTTTTTTTTTGCACTTGGCAGTAAGATACTATTCACAGTTGGCAAGATTCATTTTGTTGTTACTATAGATTTCTTTTAAAAAGTACTGGTGGTAGAAAGTGCCGTCAAGTCATTGATGACTTACGGCTAGGGTTGCCAAGTATTACCTTTCACTGGAGCGGGGGACTCCCGGCTCTTTCCTGGAGCGCGCTTGCGCACCGCAACCACGTCCTGTGGGGGTGGGTGTCCCCCCGGGGCCCGATCCGGCGGCGGCGGGTAACGGGCCTCTCAGGTGGGGGTTTTCCCGCCCCCCCCCCGGGGGACTTGGCAAGCCTACTTACGGCAACATTGTAGGGTTTTCAAGGAAAAAAATGTTTAGAGGAGGTTTGCCATTGCTGGCCTCTGTGGAGAGACCCTGGACTTCCTTGGTGGTCTCCAAGTACTAACTAGGGCTGACCTTGCTTAGCTTCTGAGGTCTCATGACATTGAGCTAGCATGAGCCATCCAGATCAGGGCTTAAAAAGTACTACTCAAATATAATAAAAATATTTTAGGTACACTTAAGATCATCTAAGGATGGCACAGGGATTTCGCATTCTCTTCTAAAATTATACTAAAGTAAAATCTGATGAGGTGTGCATGCACACGAAAGCTTATACCAAAATTAAACTTTTTTGGTCTTAAAGGTGCCACTGGACTCAAACTTTGTTCTGCTGAATGGATTCTGTATAACTTCCTTTCATGATAAGTATAAAGAAAACTAAACTTAATTTTATATATATATACTTGAACACTGGATTTATGGCTAGATTCTGTTTTTTAACTGTGCAGTGCATAGACCTTTTTATATGTCCATAGTATTTGTTACTTTGGGTTTTAGTTTCTTAAAGATGGGTGCCAGATCAGATGCCAAATCTGACATACAAACCTGAAGATCAGTGGTTCAGATACCGAAACATTTCATTTGGGCATGAATATGACAAGGATACTTCTCAAATACAAAACGATACACCCATATTTGAGAAACAGACTTTCTTGGAGCATTCTCTGAGAACTTACATTGATATAATAGCTGATCAGCTTTGTTTTGTTTTAATTTTAATTTCTATACAGAACAAGATAAATGTTTTCTGTGTTAACAACCAAGATGCTGCAATATGGTCTATATAAAATAAAACTGCTCTAGAATAACTATTAAACTATTAAACTATAATCCTGACTAACATGCAATCTAGTTATTAAATCTGCAGTTTTATGGAAATCATATTCTCTAAATATTTTGAATTCACATGTTCCATACAATTTCCCTTGTAATACTCAAACATTTGTTTCAGCATCCTAATAATATTAATAGCTGGTTTCCCTAAGGCGAAAGGAATGAAAAACCTTGCTTTCTGTATTCCCTTCACCCCCATCAGAAAGTTTACATTCACTGCACTTGAAGGCTGCCTATGAATATCCACTAGACACATTTTCATAAAGGGAAAAAGGGTTATATTTCTTGCTGACATGTAACTACTTGTGACTACATGTATACATGTTCATATGTAACTACACAAGGTATGTCTGTAACTACACAAGGTATACACTGTCCAGAGGAAAGGAATGTGTTCCCTTCCCTCAGGGCCTAACTACACTAAGCTGTTTCCAGATTCATATATGTGTATATGCACATCTGTTTGACAGGACCCAGGGTAGACCTGGAAACAGTGTACATAGTTGTAGTTAGATCCTCAGAGACAAAAGGGGAAAAATACCTCATGTGCTCTAGCAGCCCTCAGTTTTCCCCTATGAACTCTCAGAAGAGTTTTATCTCCAGAGTAAATGTACTGCAGTTTGAGCGACTGCCAGTCTTAGATTTGGAGGTGTGACGATTCTAGAGTCTCAATCAAATCCCTGTACTCTGCAATGAATCCGAAAAGGACCATAATTGGGCTTGTGCATGCCCACAGCCTCTCTACTTAACCCCTGAGCTTTAAAGTAATTCCAGCCCACAGCAAAAGTATTTACTGCAACATAGTCCCCAGTCCTTCATTCATCCTAGGCTAGGCTAGCTCCTTAAACTGCAGTCCTCAAAAATATTTGCTGGAGCAACTATATAATGTCAGCTTTGCTGCTACTTATGATAATAATTCTATATTCGAATAATTATCTGCTATATTTTTGCAAAACTGAACAACCATTTTGTGCAGCGTATTCTACTTGAAGTTTATCATGTTTCCCTCTCACTGTAAAGTATGAATTCCAGAGACTGCCAAGAAACACTTTGTAATAGAGAGCTTGTGTAGTGTACTGGCTGAACCATGAAAGGAAGTCCCCAGTACAACTCTTGCCTTTACCATGAAAGCACTAAGTAATCTTAGGCAGGCCATTTAGCCTTCGTTCCTTGCCTCCCAAGCTGCAATACCTGTCCTGGGATAGTAACACTGACTTGTCTTATAGGGTTCTTTTATGGATTACAAGGCAAACTAAGACAAATGTCTTGAAGACTCAAAAGCACTTCTCAAATGCCAAGCATCATTATAAGGCATTTAATTCATATTCTATTTACACTGAATCTTGTCTTCTGGAAAAATTTAGCAAGTGATGATTTGATAACGTACAATTCTTGAATAACTTGCACTTACATGAGAAGGGTCAGCCCTAGAGCCCTTGTTCTGCACCAGCAACTACTGGCTATTTATTTCTGGCACCTGCATCATAAGGGAGACTAGGTTAGCATGTATGAAGCAACTGGATAGTACTCCCATGGAATTTAATTGGTAAAAAACTGGGTTTATCCGTGGTTCAGATCCACTCACATTTCTACTCTCTTTATTTGGTTCCATTTCTGACACTACAAAACTGATAAGGAAAATGCCTGTTCAGTCACTTTGAACTGCCTTGGAATATGCAAATTTATCCCTGAAAGTCAGAAGATCCTGCCAAACAATATCTGATACTGCAAAAGGAATTGCTGTTGAACAGGAAAATTGTGGAGATCTGGGGCATGTACAGAATGCTTTAGCTGTGGCCATCTTTAATCCAAGCTCTTACTTGCATATATGAATACCACATCTTTCAGAACTGTAAGTAATAATTGACATCATAATAAATTTCAGTTCCCCTAATACTTTTTCTATCATGACTTCTTCACACAATGAGTAGAGGAATTGTGGAACTTACTGCCATGAGATAAACACTGGAAAGGTAAAGGCAAAGGTTTTCCCTGCTCGAAAACTAGCTGAATCCGACTTTAGGGGGCGGTGCTCATCTCTGTTTCCAAGCCGAAGAACCAGCACTGTTCAAAGACATTTTTGTGGTCATGTGGCTGGCATGACTAAATGCCAAGGTGCATGGAACGCTGTTACCTTCCCACCAAAGTGGTACCTATTTATCTACTTGCAATTTCTTGCTTTCGAACTGCTAGGTTGGCCAGAGAAACACTGGAAAAGGAAGTATAAATTCCCGAACCCTCTCTTTTCTTCTTTAGGAAATTCCTGGAACATTCTGTCTGTGCATTTCTCTCTCTTGCTCTAATATCAGAGTAGAGACTTAATAAGCCACCCAAAACTATAGGATCATTCAATTAACTAACGTGATGTTGGACTAGGACGAATGAAACCATGCTCAGATCCCTGCTCAGCCATGAAGCTCCTTCAGTGACCTTAGGCTGGTCACATACACACAGCCTAATACACCTAATATGATTGCTGTCAGATAAAAAAAAGGCGGTGGCGGGGGGAGGGGAAAAGAATGATCACATGCACTGCCTTGAGCTTCAAGGAGGAATGGTGGGATAAAAGCAGAAATACTAATGATAATAAATATTGAACCATTTATTTGGAATTGCTTATCATTCAAGGCAACTGCAACATCTTGGTTATCGACATTCAGGTCTAGTTCAAAGTCATAAGTATTCCTAGTGCAGATGTGTTAGCATTTCTGTTATATCTTTTTATATCATTTTTTGCATATTGTAACGTATTGGAAAATTACATGAATCGCCTCATTAGACTCCCATGTTAAGCTTCGAGCCAAGCTAGGGCTCCTTTGAACGAACTTCCTATTGGTCGCGTTGTAACAGCGACCAATCAGAATGGTACTATTCCTCTGAGAGGGAAAGACTCCCATTGGTCTTTAACTCATCAATCTCATTGGTTGTTAAATGTAAATAGGTGTGGCTATATTAGCCCGGTAATGTTTAAAAGGAGCATAGCTCCCACTGTTTTCTGTTCTGGTTTTTGGAATACGTTTGAGTGTTTGCTTGCTACTTCGAATAAAGCTGAATCACTGAGCTGAAATCATTCTCCGATCATTTGTTAGCGCGATCTAACACATCTAAAGAGAGAAAGCAGGTAATGCACCATACCAGCTTCACGTGATATTCAATGGAAGAGAAAGATATCAACATTAACATTAATGGTAAGAGAAACTTCTGAGTTTGTTTCCCTAACCCTTCAGATTTTTCAGCTTTAAAAAAACCTGTTACTGAGATATGTAAGAGAACAAAGTTTGAGTCCAGTGAAACCTTTAAGACCAACTAAGTTTAATTTTGGGTATAAGCTTTCTTGTGCAGGCACATTTCATGAAGTGTGCATGCACACGAAAGCTTGTACCCAGAATTAAACTTTGTTGGTCTTAAAGGTGCCACTGGACTCAAACATTGTT